TCCTCTTTTTCAAGGTACATCTTCACATTTGAATATTTGTTTTTAATCAGAAAACTACATTAAACCTCAGTTTTTTGTAAAGTTGGTAAACAACTTTAGTTTTTCTAGTGTACGTCTTTACATTTACATATTTTAGTTTTGATGAGCAAATCGAAATCAAACCTTAAAGGTTCAGTGTGTAGGATTTAGTGACATCTAGTGGTGAAGTGTCATGTTGCAGCTAAATACCCCTCACCTCACCCTCCCCTTCCAAACATGACAGAGAACCTGTGGTAACCTTCAGTCGTCATAAAACTGAAAAGGTGTTTAGTTTGGACGACTGAAAAAAAAACATGGCGGCCTCCGTAGAGAGGACCTGCTCCCAATGTAAATATGAAGGGCCCATTCTAGAGAAAAGAAAAAACAATTTGTACAATTTCGATGATTAAACACGAGTGAAAACATCACTAGGATTATTCTATATTCAATTTTCTGTCAATAGATCCCTTTCACCTGAATCTTACACACTGGACCTTTAAATGAACAAAGATTAGGAATGGATGTGTCAGTGCTCTACATGTCATATGAGACCGGTCCGTTACTCTTGGTAACCACAAGTGTCGGCGAATATGACACCAACGGTGGTTCTCTACTGATGCCGTCGGAGAAAGCTGCAGACAGAAGATCCGTCTCTGAAATATTGATGAGACAGTTTGTGCAGGGATGTGGGTCTGGTTGAGGTGTTTATGCTTCTGTGTGCTTTTTAAAAAGAGCTGCTTCCTTGTGAACACTGGCTTCGGAGTCTGGTGAAATGAAAACTGCCTCACACCAAATTCTTCCACCCGGCCTCTCCAAAGACTCTCCAACCATCACGTTAAACCAAGTGAGGAGAGCTCGCCACAGAATCCGACGCCAGGTCGTCCAGCTCAGTTTACACCGACGCTGCACCCAGGCCCTTTTCACTGGTTCTGAAAAGACCTCAGCATCGTAACTGTCTTAGTGTTCATTGTCTTTAACTGTATTTGAAACAGAATGAGACTGTTTACCTGAGTTCTGTTAAAGTAAAGCTACAGCTGCAGTTGAGTTCGATTTTTCAGTAAATGCTCTGTTTTTCTTTTCTGCAAACGCTGAACATCAACCTGCAAAGTGGAAGGAAAACGTTTTAGGGCTTTACTCTTTCTTCAGCCTCGTGCTGTCACATCCAAACTGTAGTGCCTGTTTATCTGCATAAGCAACAATAAAAGATGTCATCAGAAAACTCTCGGGCACAAACGAGCATTTGTGATGAAAACGTGGAGAATTGAAATATGTGTCGAGTCAAACAGCAAAACTCATCAACACACAGTTCATTATGTCACATGTGGTGCAGTGTCCATGTCTGTGACAGTAACAGTGTTTGACCACAAGGTGTCAGATAAGAGCATGAGTACCTGGCTGCAGACAAGATGGTCGTCAGTCCTCCGTGGGCACATGCGCAGTAAAAGCCTGTGAGCTCCTGTACCCTTATTTATACAACTTTTTTTAAATGGGTCGATATGAAGTTGATTCATCAAGACTTTAAAAAGTCTCCAATTATTTTATGTACAATTGAAATCACATTTAGTTACAGACAATATCTTATAAACAATGTGAATATAGACAGATTGATAAATAAACAGATAGATGTACGGTCCTGTCAGTACTGGGGAGGCCTGCCAGGCTTCTTTCTTTTTTTTTTGCAGGGGAGGCCTTGAGGTGAGGCCTCTGCAGTTTCCCTCCAAAAGCGACTTCCTGATCGACTTCCTGATTTACTTCCTGATCTACTTCCTGATCTACTTCCTCATTTCATAAAAATGAATCCTTATTGTCTAAATCCAGAGAAGTTGAAAGCATCACAGTAAAATAAAAGCTTCATGTAAAATACAAGAGTCCCCTTCTTCAACAACGGTTGTTCAACTCTCACACAGTTGAAAATCCTCAGTACTGACAGCAGGCTGTCGGCCTAGTCACACAATATTTATTAGATGTTACTTCAGTGAGAAAACTTGACCCTTAGTGATTCAGTGACTCTTTTTCAACATGTAGGAATTTTTCTTTAAAGTTGAATCAGCCACAAAGAAACTTCTCAGGTTGAATCAACAAACATTTTGTCTGTAAACACACAGAACTATAATATAAGATAATAATATGTATAAAGTAAGAAAAGAAAAAGTCTGAATGATGCAACAAAGAGTCCAGAGATCAACTAACAACACACCAACACTTTCAGGGATAAACAGCAAACAAACGAATCAGTTCAATTCATTGTATTCTCACTTTGAGCAGAGGGAACTCTCTTTAAGATACAAAGCAACAGAAACAAAACACGAGCTTCAGCTTCTCTAGTGAAACATCTTCTCAAACAAATGTCTCGAAGAACTAGAAGTGAAGAGACTGTTGGACTCACCGGATGTTCTCAGGAGAGAAGAGTCTGAGATCAGCTGTTTGGAGACAGAGCTGCTGCTGCTGTACCAGATGCTGTGCAGCCATCTCTCCACAGGGAGGCGCCATCATGACTTCTACTCGAGGCTGAAAGACGGGATCAGTGATTCACATCAATTAAAAAGTGTTGAAAGGAAAGATTGGAGACTTTCTGTCTTTCATATCATCTTTACTATATTTATTATCCATTTAATACTCACTCCTGTCTGTGGAAGTCACTGGCTAATGTGCAATGCATTCCACTGTATATGTTCTGTTTCTACTGTATATATCATTTCTATTATATTTCTATTTTATACCTCCTTGCATGTTTTCTTATTTATCTCTTATACCAAGGTCTTTTTTTTGACTGTCCCTATTATTACTGCACCAAAGCAAATCTCCCCATCGTGGGATGAAGACAGGATCATTTGATCTTTTCTTAGTAGCAGTAATTGATTATCAGGATCACGGCTGACATTGACCAGAGTTCAGAGAACAGGGCGATTGAGTTTTACTACAAACACTACTTGCTATTGTTGTTGTACTTCAGTTTGTACTCATACAACATGTTATTGTCTGTGCATGCTACTGACATTGATAATAACACACTGCACTGTTGATCTTCATTGTACCACTACCACTCCAATCATCCCACTACATCTCACTGTCTACTTTATTACACATCAATTAGATACTGAGATAAAAAGTAGTGCAAATGCAATAGACAACATGTTATATACAGAATATTATAAAGTGCAGTACAGCATTGACTTGGATACGATGTAGAAACGATATTGTTGTTGTTTAAAACTTACCTGCATGGCTAAATCTGACATATTTACATGTTGGTCGGAAGTTCACGTGATAAATAATTTGCATTTTCCCTTTTAAATAAATAAGCAAACATTAACATAGAGTACAAGTATTTGAAGTGCAGTGCTTAGTTACTTCAGGGTCATCTTCTTTATTTCATTTAGTTCTTTAATAATAATATTGACAAAGTTTTTCCTATAACAACGGACAATACAATGAAAGTCAAAACAATCAATAACAGATTTGAATTTGAACTCGTCAAGACTCACTTTTATTGTCCGCTAACAAGGCACGAGGAGGCTGCTTCGAGCAGGGCAATAATTCATCAATGATCAAACCTTACACAATCACCAAATGAAACTTGTACCACTTTCCATCAGTCACTAAAAAGGTGATGTTGAGGAAACTTAAAAAATAAAGCAAATTCTTTGTTTGATAACTTGAACAAAGGATCTCAACAAAACAGCAATCATACCTTCAATGTGTTAAACTTCAGTTGCACAAATCCCCTCAAAGAAAACATAAGCATGAAAAACTATGATCGACAGATGAATATTTATCATCTAGAGCTGATTGAGACATAAAAACATTGCAAACAGCAGCTGGTGATAGAAAGTTAAATCTGTTACCTGCTGCTGGGACAATATGTCAAGTAATTATTCTATTACAGGGGGATGAATCTTTATACAGCATTTTAATCTTCCTTCAGAATCCTGTTCAGTTCAGTCTGTCAGATCTATAAGATGAGGCAACACAGGATGGCTTCACAAGTGAAGATGTTTATATATAAGATAAGCAGATTTATATTATAAAACGTTTTTTACAGCGTCTACCTTATAACATGATCTGTTTGCAAAGGTAAAAATAGATTTTCATCATAATAATGTGCTTGTATTGAGAAGCTTCCAGAGGAGCTGATCCTCAGTATATGTAATGATCAGTAAGGCTTTATATTATTTACAGTCCAATGAGGATTAGTTGCCAGTTGTGTTGTGTTGTTTGGCTGATTGATTTTTTGCACATGCAGAAGAGTTTATGATACTAATGATGAGGCCTCCAGGTCAAAGCCTCAGCATGCAGAGACAAACAGACACTGCAGATATAAAGAAACAAAAAAGACCTTGTGTCCAGATGGTTTTTAAACACAAACTCTTTGACTTCATTCATATCTGATCTTGATTTCTAAAATCGTAGCTTAAAAATAATTCTATCCGTCTTCTGAATCCAAAACTTCATTTGTGCCGTGAGGAAGAAAACTCTTCCTCCTCACTCAGAAGCGGACACAGCCACTAGTTTCCTCTGGGCTGTCAAAGTCGATTCCTTCGCACAGGGACTCCTACAAGAGAGAGGACACGTCACTGACACCCGCAAATTAATGTCTCACAGCAGAAAATGCTATTAGAGGAAACTAATAGCTTCCCAGGCGGCCCAGGAGTCTTAAGTTCCTATCTGAAAAATTGGGTCATTTGTGTGAAATGTGGAAAAACGGGGCCGCAATACTTGAGACTGTTCATTAGCATATTGTCTAAGAAGAAGTTATTAATTATGAATCACTTTCTGACCCTACGTGTGATTGCTTCACTTTAATCAATACTGAGACACATTTAAACAACCATAATATTACATGTGCACGGCAAATTATTATTTTCGCTTTTTAAAACATATCTAGGCGTCTAACAAATGTGATAATCAAAAACTTTTATTGAAGCTGCTTTTACTGTTGAAGCCATTTGTTAAACTTCCAAAGAATCAGTGCCCGATAGTCACTCTGCAAAACGTCGCTGAGAGGAAACTACAATCGACAGCAGCTTCCTGAGAGTAAAGATGATGGAAGGTTAGAGAAACCCAAGTGTTGGAAAACCATAAAAAACACTGTGATAACCTACATTGATGAGATAACATGACTCGAACAACAGGTTGAATTATGGGAAAGAAAATGATTCGTTGGCTACATGTTACCAAGTCTCACAAGAAATACTCACAGACATCTGCCTCCTATTCGGAGCTGAAAGACGGGGTCGGAGAGAGAGAGAGAGAGAGAGAGAGAGAGAGACAGAGACAGATAGAGAGGTGGAGATGGGCTGAAGCACTGTACTCACAAGGCAAGGCCAACAAATACACAACAAATATACTTATGAATATGCATTTGTAAATAGAAATCACTTTTTTATGGGTTTAAAATCTCAGATTTACATTTAGTATTCATTTTCAAATTGCAGTTGAATGTTCTCAAATGGATTTCAGAATTAAAAAAAATGAATTGTCGCTTTAGAAGAGAGTGTAAAGGTAGAATGTAGAGCCCGACTGATATGGATTTGTGGCGCCTAACTTTATTAGAGCGTATCGATGCCGATATTTATAAAATAAGAAATTTGTCAATGATTCCAAAGATTGTCCTCTACCTTAAAGTACATAAATGATTGTTATAGAATAGGCTTATAAAGTCATTACTACTCTTAAACTACCTCTACTCCATCTAACTTTTTAATTTCATTCAATTTCAGATGATTTTCCGAGGCTGAAATTAGGGATACCGATACCAATATATATATATACCAATACAGTATATAATTAATTTATACGTCATTATCAAACCCTGGTGACAATTTTTTAAAATTCAGGCTTGATATTTAACCCTGCAAATAGAAAGAAATCACAAATACAACCAAATATATAGAACTTGAGTTAAGAACATAAAAGTTTAAATGTAAAATAGAAACATAAATCTTTTCTAAATTGTTTATTCTGTAAAATAATGGTTTTCTTATCGGTGAATAAACATAAATTCAGATGTGGATATTTCTGTGAAAGGCTCATATCGGCCGGGCTCTACTAATATGAGTCACATATGTTGTGTTTGTCTAAATGTCTTCGATGATTTTCTTTTCTATAATTTTAAGGCGAACCAAGAGACATGCTCTTCTGCATATTCAAGCTGGAAGCAGAGCAGTGGTGAAGCAAAGGTCATGCGAGACAAACATCAGACGGCCAAGACATCAAAGAAAGAGAATCATCTCTTCGTACCCAACACGTGACAGAGACACAGAGTTCCACGTACGTCAGTTTCAACACAGACACTAACTCATCGAGCGGATCCAAGACTGAGGTGAGAGGGATGTCAAACACACAACTGTGGTGGGAGGTGACATATTTGAAGGGGGGGGGCTGTAACTCTTTCACTAACTTGGCTTTGCCGTCCCTCTGGCATCAGAGCTGATGGCGTGGGGGCAAGCGGTAGCCAGGGCGGGTTGCCTGCACTGTAGAGCCTGGGACGCTTGACCTGGTCGTGACTGGACAAGGGAGTGTAACTATTCCGCCGAGGTATGAGAGCAGAGTCCCTCGGGATTTTATCCTGGTAGGAGATGAAATACTGCAAGGTGTTAAAGACAAAGATCTGGGGACACCTGACCAGACACAGCCGAGCAGAGCAACCGTCCTCTCCACACTGACTCATGTTAACAGGTTAAACAACCGAAGCCAATTCAAAGGAGACATATCATGACGTTCAGTTTTTCTTTCCTCTGTGTGTGTTATATACGTTTTTACCTCTGCCAAGGAAGTTATGTTCTCACCCCTGTCCGTTTGTTTGCAGAGCAAGATTATACAAAAACTACAAAAACGGATTTACGAGAAAACTTGGTGGAAGGATGTATCCTGGGTCAGAGAACAAATAACTTTTGGTGCAGATCCAAATCAATTCATATTAATAATTCATGGATCTTGATGAGAAGATCAGGCATGTTTAGGGACTGATTTCTTTCTGAGTTTGTGCAATTTGAAACTTTGAAACTTTGTTGAATTTAAGGGGACTGTTAATAAGTGCCACTCTAGTTAGAGTTAAAATGCCCAAAGTCCTCAGTGAAGGGAGCTCCTCTCGCTCACAGCAAACACAACTCCTGAAGCCTCTGAAGCTCCTGTGGCTCCTGAAGCTCCTGAAGCACCTGAAGCTCCTGAAGCTCCTGAAGCACCTGAAGCACCTGAAGCACCTGGAGCACCTGAA